AGAATCGCTTATAACGTCTGCTATTAACGCAGACGTTTGGTACATTCGTTTCATAATATTTATATTTTATTTTTCATCATTAATTATTGTGTTATTATTATTTTTATATTATACTTTACATATAATTAAATATGAGTTCTAACAAAAAAGATACCGGTAAAGGAAAAGAGAAAGAGCCAAGTGGCATTAGTAGATTATTTAATTTTAATAAAAAAGTAGTAAGGAAAAAAATAAGAGTAAATGTGGTGGTACTTCTAGAGTTAGATTTAATACAAATGATTCTACTTATGTTGATGATACTTCTTATGATATTGATTCAAATGCTCAACTCGATCGTGAACTTTTACAACAAATTTATGGTGATATTAATCCTTATCTTGATGAAAATTCAGGTGAAGAAGTAGAAGTTGGTTCGGGAGAAGATGAATTAGAAGATACACCTACTAGTCCGGTGACAAATGTTCCAAATAAAACTACAAATTCAACGGAGCAAAATTCTGGATGCCCTCCCCTTATACCTCCTACAAGGGAGAAGGTGAAGTATCAACGCCCTAAAACTTCTGTTGTGTGGCAATTTATGACTTTAGATAAGGAAAATTTTATTGCTATTTGTAATAAATGTAAGCAACCTTTTAAACATAAACAAGGTGGAGGTCAAGGTGGGACGGGGGGCTTAAATAGACATTTGTTATCTTGTGTGCCGATTCAATATAAAGAAGCTAAATCATTAGCCAATAGAAAAAAAGGAATTCCAGTTAATGATTTTGATATTAATGTTAATGAATCGGTAGGGGCTTCTAACATGGTTCAAGGAACATTAGATCCTTCTAACCTCGGTGTCCACTAACACAACATAAATATAATAAGGAAAGAGATCGTGAAAATTTAGCTAAAATGGTTTCTGTTTGTGGTTTACCTTATAGTTTTCCTTCACATCCCGATTTTATTGAATATATTCAACAAACTTATAATCCTAATTATAGAGGTTTTTCAAGAAATACTGTTAAATCTGATGTTTTTGTATTTCAAGGTAAACATTGTCAATATCTTCGTTGTATGTTTAGCATATTAGATTGTAGAGCGTCTATAACTTTGGACATGGATCGTAGTGTTAATGGACGTGATTATTTAACTGTTACAGCACATTGGATTGATCATAACTGGAATTTGTAAAAAAAAAATCTTAAGTTATAAAGAATGTGTAGAGAAAAAAAATGGTGCATAGTTAGCTTCAAATATTTTGAGCGTTATAGATTATTACATGCTTATAGATAAAGTAATGTCTGTCGCATTAGATAATGCATCTAATAATGTAAACGCGTATTTCATTATTTGAATGTGGTTGTATGAAAATTGAATATGTTGTTGCCTGGATTTTTTATGCTAATAGAGCTGCTTGAATTAGGGAATTTAATGAGCGTTGTGTACTATGTGATTTGCCACCAAGAAAAATTCCAAGACATATTAAAACAAGGTGGAATTCTTTTTACGAAATGTTTTCAGTTGCTTACGAATATAGAGGACCCATACAAATGATGTTTAATGCTCATAATGCTGACCCATTAGACAGAATTTGTGAAGAAGATTGAGAAGAAACTAATGAACAATTAGAATTTTTAAGACTTTTTTATGATGCTACAACCATGTTTTCTGGAATTTATTATCCTACTATTTCAGCAGTATTAATAAATATTTGTGCTATTTCAATTTTCTAAAAACAAAAAAATTGAAAAATTTAGAGTTGCAATTGAAGGTATGATTGAAAAATTTTAAAAATATTTTTTTCCTATACCTCAAATTTTTTAAACTGCTACTTTACTTCATCCTGACTATAAATTACAAGGTGTGCAGGGACTTGTTGACACTTTTTATGATACCTTAGAAATTTTACCGGAAATAAATCCAACTTGTGAAATGTGTAAGTGTAGCATAAAAGTAGAAGAAAAAATTTTGTATGAAAAATATAGAACTACAGGAAATACTCAAGAAGTTGGTCAAACTTCTAATCCTCAGAGTAAAGCTCGAATTTCAAGTTATATGCGAGATTTTCTTGGTCTTAATTCTACTAACCGTGATGATTTTGAAGAATATCTTAATCAATCTTTAGAAACAGTGGAAGACGGAGATGGCAATGAAGAATTATTAGCATGGTGGAGGAGTCAGAGCGTTGCATTTCCAATTTTGAGCAAAATGGTTCGTGATGTTCTAGCTATTCAAGCTTCATCAGTTGCATCGGAGGCTGCTTTTAGTGCGGCAAGGTTTCAACTTGGCAATCATAGACATTCATTGGCGGAAGACAGTTTGGAAATATCAGTTTTATTTAGAGATTGGGTCAACGCCGAGAGGAGAAATTATAATTTGCCAAAGTTAAGTTCCAAACAAGAAGCTTGGATTAATGCGGTAATTGGATCTAGTGATGATGAATTAGAGTCACAAGAGTTTCTAGCAAGTTTGCCAACACCGGAGGATGTTACCGTCGATATGATGCGACAATTAGAATTAAATTTTAAAAGAGAATTCAAATATTAGATTACATCTGAGAACTAATTGAAACAGAACCCTTCCTAGAAGGTGGCTGCGTAAATTAGTTACTCATCTAATATTTGTAACAAATATTAGTTTTACATATGAGAACTTATTGAAACAGAACCCTTCCTAGAAGGTGGCTGCGTAGATTAGTTACTCCACTAATATTTGTAAATTGTAACTTCTAAGTTGTAAGTTGCAATTAGATATTATTGAATAAATTTGAAGGCTTTATTAAGTCTTTTTTATATAACTATTGTCTTGCATTTTAATTTTAATATATTCATACATATTTACATATATACTAAACTAACTTTAAAATACTTAATTTAAAAATCAAAATTTCAAGTTTAAATTACTTTAAAATACAAATTTGAACTTCTCAAATTTGAAATTTGAAAATTGAAAATTGAAGTTTGAAATTTGAAAGTTGAATTTGAAATTTGAAATTTGAAGTTTGAAATTTGAAGTTTGAAATTGAAATTTGAATTTTGAATTTTGAAAACTTAAGCATTATTTATTAGCTAAAAATGTTATTGAAAAAAAATCAAATAAACTAAAAATGTTATTCATTAACATATAATTTCAATACAAATAAATAAGTATATAAAAAATAAAAAATCCCCCGTTCCATCTCGTCCCCCCAAAACCCGTCCCATCCCGTATATATAGTGGGACGAGATGGGACTTATTTTTGTCCCCCCAATCCCGGTCCCGGCCAAATCCCCCCAGAACCGTCCCCCGTCCCGTCCCGTCCCCCAGTCCCCGTCCCCGTCCCCTTGCCAGCCCTACCATCAATGCACACAACTCAACTCTAGGAGATATGTCATCTAAGTTTATTATGTATAGAATTACGGGAAACGTATACAAATTTACTCAAGTATATAATCACGTGCAAGGAACTCATTCAATTACATTATTACTATTTTATCATCATTTCATTTCCAGTATCCTTGCATTGCATGTGCAATTCATAGCCCTCGATGATCGGGCAAATGTGATAGGAAATGACCATCAATCTGCATATATAGCATATTTTATATATAAAAAATATCAAAAGAAAATTGAAATTCCTTTAAGATACAAATCCAAATACTATCGAGTGTGATATCTTTTAAGGAAAAATTGTATAAAGTAGCAAATTATTAATTTAAATTAAATGTTATAACAATAGTTTTATTTAATTGTAATATGTAGCAAACAGTTGTCATTCGCTTATCTCCCTGAATTTCTCATTGCCGGTCTCTTTCTCGCCTCTATCACACTATACAAACACAAATGTACAAAATGCATTTTTGTTTGTATAAAGCGAGAGAAAACTGTATATATACATATCTTTTCGTTCGCCTCTCTCCCTAGAGAATCCCGCTCGCCTCTATCACTTTATACAAACACAAATGTATAAATTGCGTTTGTGTTTGTATAAAGTGAGAGAAAATTGTATATACAAATACAAATACATATATTTTCGTCCTATACACTTATAATTATACAAATACAGATCTTCCGATGCCCAATTTTCTTTTGTTTCTCTTTTTCTCGCTTTATACAAACACATATTATATAATTGATTCGTTTGTAAATGTATACCGAAACAGATTATACAATTGATTCGTTTGTATATGTATACCGAAATATACATATTAATAGTCATAGTAAACATAAAGGTTGTCATGAAGCGTAATTATACAAACTATAGCTATAACATACAAATATGATTTTTATGTTTGCTAAACCTAAAATTTACTCTATTTCTTAAGCCTGCATTTAAATAAGTAATTTGATATTATAATATAAGATTATAATATCAAATCAATATTTAATATATAATTTGAATTTCATATTCTAAAATTTCAAAAAACATAATGTTATTATCAAAAAATATTATTTACGAGTTATAATCTAGTTAATTAATTGTGATTTCAAATAATACGGCGGAAAATTTCTTGATTGAATTTGTAGCTCAAAGCCTCAAAGGAGTTGCGTGGTCGTGTAGTACAAATGGCATCATTAAAAAAAAAAAGTACTCCTTTGTTCGATACTTATTTATTATTGATTTTGTACATTTATAAGAAATTATATATAGAAAGATAATGATTTTACACATTTTATAAGAAATTATATATAGAGAGGTAATTATATTGTATCATTCTTATATAATAAATATATATACTTTTTTAAATGTTGTAGGAAATTTCTTTGGATAACATTCTGATAAGACTTAGATATATAATGCCTTAAGGTTTTCTTATTGAAACTATAATTAATAATAAAAATAAATTAGATAGTAAATATAAAATTATTCATTAATTTCACAAAGTAAATAAGAATTATTAGACATTTCAAAATAGCATAATTGATAATTATTGTTGAACCTAGGGAAAAAAGACACGTTGGGATGTGCAGCGGCAATCCTCTGTTGTGTGCAGAGTTACGTGGATACCTCTGCTATTGCCTCATCATATTGCATGCAGCTATCCCATTCCCACTACGACGCCTGTCGTCTTCTCCCAGAATTTCCCCTTCCCAACGCATCCTCCATGCTTTATCTGTCTATTCTCAACAAACAACTATCTTCAGGTAATCAAATATTTCTCTCTTTTCAAATTGGTTCTTATCATGATATATATATTTTTGAAGTAGAACTGCTGTCTAATTGTTGCTTCTATCGTTTTTGAGGTCAGCTATGCTCTTGTTTCCTTACTTGAGTGGGCATCTATGTTTCTTCATTCATTTTACTTCTATTTATGGTTTTATTGTTGAAGTACTGCTATTGTATAAGCTTCTCATTCCACTTATCGGAAATAAGGGCGGAACTGGTAAGGGTGCAAGGTTCATCTGAATCTCATTAATTAATTATTTATATATTATTAAAATTATTTTTTGTATGTATATAGCACATGTTGAATTCTCTTCGATTTCTTGGTGATTTTACTTCTTTCATATTTTGAATTGGAACCTGAATTAAGAAAATTCTGTTTTATCCACTGATCAGCAAAGCTCATATAGAGATTCTCCTTGCTTATTTCGATTGATTTTTGTCAAAAGGGAATTTGATATAGGAATTGATTCCTTTTTAGCGGAGTTGCTTTCTTATTTTGCTTGATTTTTGAAACTACTTGGTTGTACTAGTTTGGTTTTGTGTTATTTTTTTTTTTCATTTTAATTTATATTTTTTGGTTTGTTTGTAGGATGGAAGATCAAATTGTGGAGCATACTTCGTTAAAAGATGAGGAAGAAGAAGAGGAAGATGATGACGACGAGGGGGAATTGAAAGAGAGTAATATAAGATGGATTGTGAACAAAGGATTAGGGTTGGGGAAGAAGGTTATGATTACAAGTATTGTAATCTCTTCTGCCCCAGTGGTTCTTCCTCCGCTTATTGTTATTTCTGCACTCGGGTTTGCATTTTCGGTTCCTTTTGGTCTTGCTTTTGCTAGTTATACTTGTACTGAGAAGCTTATGAACACGTTGCTTCCGAGGTCAGAGCCACCTCTACTGTTGGAGTATGGGGATATGTATGAAGATGATGAACAAGTAGGAGGGAAAGGTCCTGGTTTTGGTGGAGAAATGTTGATGGAAGAGGAGGAAAAGAAAGAAATGGAGGATGTAAAAGAAGGGGTTGAAATGAGGATTGAGTTGGAGAGCAGTGGATACGAGGGAGGACCGACTCTTGTTGAAGATGAAGATGTTGGCAGAGCGGAGGAAGAAAGAGAGATCAATGTAGATGAGGATGTTAAAGAAGAAGGATATGAAGAAGATGTGGGTGAATGCTTGGAAGGAGAGAATGAGGGACCAATGAAGGAGGAAAATTTGGAAATCGAACGAGCAAGAGAAGCAGAAAATTGGGAATTTGATGAAAAGATTAAGGAAACTGAGGGTTTGGATGTGGTGGCCAAAGAAGCCAGGGGAGAAAATGAGGGTGAAAAAGACCTTACTTTAACACCAGGTCTGCCAGATAAGAATTTTGTTGAAATATATGTAGGTGATGCAGTGAAGGAAGATACCTTAGAGAGTTCAGGTGGACTTGAGGGAAATGAGGATAGAAAGGTTACGCGTCCCGAAGTCATAGAGAAGCCATTGGAAAGCAAAGACGAGAGGGTAGATAGTCTTGTGAGAGAGCTTCAAGGAACAAAAACTGAAAAAGGACCCGAGGTTACTTCGGAAGAAAAAGAGATAATAGAAGTAACAAGGAAACCAAACGTCAGCAAAAGCTCAAAGAAACACCACAAAAAGAAGAAAGCAAGTGAAAGTAAAAATGTTGCAATATCAGAGAAAGGGGAGGGGTTGAGCAACAAGCAGCAGGGAGACACTGATGTGAAAATAATTGGAAAAAAGGAAGAGGTAAAGGATGAAGTTAAGGTGAAGCATGACGAGAAGCATTTACCAGTGAAAAGGGAGACCAAAGAAGGAAGAGACGAAGCCAACCAAAGTGGTGTTTCCAAAAAGGCCAAGAAAGCTGCTGAGATGGACAAAACACTGCCCGGGAGCAGAGATTCAGGAAATGGCAAGCATGTTGCAAAAGATGCTTCGTGTCCATTGGAAGGCAAGGATAACCTGGTAGCTGCAAAAGAGGTTCAAAGGAAGGCACCTGATGTCCGCCGGAACCTTCCATCTGAACGAAAAGGGACCACTGATCAAAAGAAAAATGTCAATGCCGGTGGTGTCAATCAGGTTTCTGGAAGAGCAGGGATTCCAGAGGCCAAACCCGCCAAGGTCAGTTCTATTGTTTTAAGTCTAGTTCTGCCACCTTAGGTTGCTTTCTGGAATTTTATGGGGGTACTCGGAGAGGGTTATCTTTTAATATTTCATAGTATTCTTGGTTCTTTGAAGTTTCTCTGGAAAATTTGGTCAATCTATTTGAAAGCATGTTTAGGTTCAAAGGCGTATCCAAGATTTTGAGATGATGGTTATATAAAGGTTGATCTATGATATAAATTTGATCGGTTCGACATTTAGGTTTTTACTATTGAAAACCGTTAAAATTTTAAACTATAGGTTATAATTAATTCTTATATACCAATTACCACTTAGAGAAGTGTTATCTAATATTAGAAAGAAAAATAAAACAAGATAAATATAAAATTCAACTTTCTAACCTCGCGGAGAGAGGTGCACCCAATCATAATCGCATTATCTGATACTTGAAGTGTGGGTTCATGCATCTATATTTCAATATCTTTTAAAATTATAACACTACTATATATGATCTCGGGAGGGGACCATGGTTCACGTGAACCCAGTGACCCCCCCTTAGATACGCCTCTATTTAGGTTAACCTAGCTGGACTCATTTAGTATGCTTATTGAAAAAATTCTTTGATTAGATACTGGGAATTATTCAGACTGTTGATTGCTTAATTTACCTCGTGAAAGAAAGAATCCTTAGCAAGAAATGCTACTATTCATGAATTATTAACCAAAAGAAACTGCAGTTGCATAAACTGTCTAATTCTCTGCCAATGCTCAAGTAAAGTAGTTTCTGGTTCACCCGATCTCATTCTTTGTGAATCTCAAGCAAGCACATTGGTTCTCTTAGTAGAGAGGGTGCAACTTTTACTTCATTTCTTCTATTAGTTTGGCTTCTCTTTCCCATTGTCATTAGTGCTCTTTCATTTCTCGCATTACTCTTTACATTCCTTGGTGGTCATGCACGGGATGCTCCACTACAGCTCAGTATGAGCCCATTTTGCTCCAGCCTTGGTGGGTTATTATACTCAGCACTCATCAAAGTGTCCGCTGGCAGTCTAGATGTCAATATAATCTTTTAGTTTTGGGATGCATGCCAGATTGTCTCTTAATAGGGTGAGGGTAAATGAAGATTCTGAGTTTTCAATTTTCTTTTTGGAACCTTTTAAGATCTTTTTCTGGGTCTGGAAAGTGGAAGTAAGAGTGTAGAAGAATGTGATTGCATGACAAATGCAACCCTACTAGTCTACAAAAGCTGTACAAAACTTGCAAAGATACTTGGGGTCTAGCAAATCAATATCGATGCATTTTTATTTACCAAACTTCAATCTGTTTTCCTCATTTTGAACTTAGATTTATTTAGTATTGGTTCTTTATCCCTAAGTTATTCAGGATTGTTTCTATGAACTCTATATCATATATTATGTATTAAGAGAAAGATGACCAGTTTTTTTGGCATTCCCAAAGGTACTGTGGAGTAATAAAAGAAGAATACTACAAGACTAGTAAAGCAATACTTGTGTGCCAGGTTTATATTTGATGTACTGTGCCTTCTTGAATCAATAGATAACTTTTTAAAGAAAGAAAAACTAATGGGCTTAGTGGGGATGAGTGTTCCAAGAGCAACTAATCAAGTTCCGCACCTGTGGCTTGTATTTTTTTGTTCATTCAAGCCAATTGCGAAGCACCATCAAAGAGACACTTATGGAAATGTGTGTTCATGTATACGCTTTTGATTCTAAGACATGTATAATTAATGTTATTCAATCATTCTCCAGCCTGCAGTTTCAAATTGGTCGCGGGCTGTCCGTCCACTCTGTGTGCTCTACTTAGGTCCATGTGATTGAATATATGGCTATTCCAATTCTTACTGTACTGTGATTATCATAACCGATGATTCAAATCGTAGAATCCTTGCTAATGTTACATTTTTTGAACATTGTCTTGCTCCTACAATTTTTGATACTGGTATGTGTGATATCAAGGTTAGTCCCTCTTTTTCACTTAAAAGAGGTTGTCGCGTGCTATAGTTTTATCGGTGATGGAAGGCAAGATGCACGAACACTTTTCTCTCCCATGTTCGATTTTTCATATCTGGTCTCCTTTGTACTAACTGCTTGTAATATTCATTTATTTCATTCTGTGGCTAGAGTATTTGAAGCAATTTGGATTCATTTTTACTTGCTTGATGATATTGCTAGGAGTTCTCCAGTGAGGAGAAGATATGGGAGAAGATGAACGCAATGAGAACAATCGTGGGATACACAGCAGCCACTCAACCTTTGTTGGTAGATGAACTAAAGGCGCTATACATCTTTACTGGAGTCGAGCCCCCATCTACGTTCCATAACCCGTCCACTTTGGAAGAAGTGAATGACAAGCTTCAGTTTCTTATGTCGATTGTGGGAATAAAGTAAAGTGTTAGTACGTACTTTGTTTGGTCTGTATTTTCTTATCGTCTACTTTTGTCTTGTTAGTTTGTCAAATTTTAGCTTGATACTGGATTTGTGTATGATTATGCTAGAAATTGCACTTTGTTGTAAAATCATCAGCTTGAATGTTCTACAGAGTTTTGGCTCCTTTTAGGAAAATATTCTTCTATGCTTGAACATTGCTCTATCTTGGTGGCGTCGGTTCTGGAACTGGAACTGCGTTCTTGTTGATGTTTTTGAAAACTCACTGTTGTGCAGTCTTTGAATTCTGAATGTGATCTTAGCCAAGTCTCTTATTGTCTTCCAGTTGATTGGCTTCTCGTGGACTGCCCCGAGTTTCGAGTTTGTGTCTTGGCATTTCAGCTTTTTCAATAGAATATTGGAGTTTCCACAAGGCAATGGTGTATTGAGCCAGATGTCGAAAAGCAACTGATCTCGGTGAACAGAGTGAGATGTCGAACTTCATGGAGGTGCAGGGGAACTTTTTTAACATATTATCTTCCTGTTTAGTTTGTGTCTTGGCATTTCAGCTTTTTCAATAGAATATTGGAGTTTCCACAAGGCAATGGTGTATTGAGCCAGATGTTGAAAAGCAACTGATCTCGGTGTACAGAGTGAGATGTCGAACTTCATGGAGGTGCAGGGGAACTTTTTTAACATATTATCTTCCTATTTAGTTGAACTTCCATATTTAATGTTAAGTATATAGTACTCCAAAAGATGAAGAAATTGAAGAAAATGGTACTCCTCATTCAAGTCGTGTTAATTGAACTACTAAGGTGTCAAGTTGTGTAAGGTGGCAGCAAGGGCGGATTCACATGGAGGGTGTTTGAGCACTCATTAACCTTCTATCGAATTATATACTATATATATATATATATATATATATATATATATATATATATATATATATTTATTAGAGAGCACTATGAAAATAATGGTTTAATTGGCTTGGTGGTTGAAAGGGGGAGCTTAAGATGAGAAACTATTCGTCTCTTTGCCAGGTTTGATCCCCCCTGAGACATTATTTTTAGTTCGGAAAAGGATTAAAACTACTCTTTAATTATTTGAAATAAGATTAAATGTATCTTAAAATTATCTTTCGGCTCAAAAGTAACCTTTCCGACTTACTAGACGATCAGGCTTATCCTTCTCTTCAATGGAAGAGTTATGTGGCATCTCATGTGTTTATTAATATGCCATATAGACCTCCATATCTGCACGCCCATCCACTTGCACATAGACGTTTTAAGAGTCTTAATTTCATCCTTTTTCCACATTTTTATTTTCTTAAAAAAATCAATATAACAATATCCATAATGTAGTCATTTAAAAGTTTAGTTTATGAGGAGATTGTTCTTTTAATAGAGTATGTTTTTTAACATTAGTTTTCAATATTTAGACTAAACCATATTAATAATATGTTTTTGGTGTAGCTTTTTTAAAAATAATCCTTTTCGTAAAAAAGATTCAAAAAAGCTTCCTTTCACCAGTCTAATTTCGCTACTAGGGTTCATAGTAGCTACAATCTTTCTTCGCAGCTAAGTTTCAAAGTAGCTACGATCTATCTTCGTTGCTATAGTTTCAAAGTAGCTAGCATCTGTGGATATTTGTGATTGTAGGATAGTAAATCATTTTTCCTATGTTATTGTAGTTATGATTTCAAAGCAACATAGTTAGGATTTGTGATTTGTATAATCTTCTGGTATGTTAGATTAGAGAATAAATTAATTATTTATTTGAGTTCAAATAGTAATATTCATGATTTTTTATTTGATTGGTTTGTGCATTGGGATGAGTTGTGATTTTTTAATCAATTGAAAATTTTGTCTTGTATATGGTGATCTTTTTCTGTTATGTTAGATTTAGGAAATAATTTGAATTAAAATAGTAGTATTCATGTGATTTCGTATTTTTTTCAATCGTGCATAGGAGTAAGTTAGATTTTTGTAATCTTTTAAGAATTTTGTCTCGTATATGGTGATCCTTTTATGTTAGGTTAGATTTAGGAAATAATTTGAGTTAAATAGTAGTACTCATGTGATTTCGTATCTTATTCATTCGTGCATAGTAGTAAGGGCTTGGTCCTAATGCCCTTTTTCATAAAGGATTTGTTTGTATGTGAATATATATTGTTTAGTCTGAATTTGATGTATGTGGTCTCAATGTCCTTTTTCATTGTTTATTATGACCTGTTTGTTCAGAATGTTTTTATCTATTGTTTATATATATATATATATATATATATATATAAAATATTACTAAAAGTGGGAAACACCTATCTTCAAAGTTAGATTACAATTTTACCCTTACACTTTTCAAAATGTAATAAATACAACATCTAATCTAATTAAATAATAATAAAAATGTATTATCTCTTCAAAATTAAACACTAAATTATCTACACAAAAAAAGAGAGGGCAATATTTGACATTCATATTCCAACTAAAAGATAATGATACTTATTCCCTCTGTCCCTAATTAGTTGTCCACTTTTAAATTGACACACCTGTTAAGAAAACAATGATTGACATAGTGAATTTACCATTTTACCTCTATTAATTATTGTAACATCTTGCACCTAGAAACGACTATTAAGAGTTTAAAATATGAAAATATTTATTTTTGGAAAGAATAAGGAAATTTGAAAATTTTGTCTATAAGTAAAGAAAGTGAGTTTTGACCATTTTCAAATGGCCATAACTCCTAGCTCAGGATGAGTTAGGAGCAGCTCTTGATATGGTTGGAAATCCCTTGGAGAGATCTTTCCAACGCCGCTGAGTTTACACGATTTCGACATTGTATCAGTGAGATATGCCTTTCGGAAGTTGGGTTGTTGGATTGAGGAAAATCCCAATCCGGATTTAGGGAAGGGCAAGGTAGTCTTTTCTCTAATTAATCTCCTAATTCGTTTTTAGGGATTTATTGGGGGTAAAAACATGACTTAGTCAGTTTGGAGAATTGAGAAATACGCTTAGGACTTGGAGAAAAGAGAAAAGAAGAAAGAAAGGGAGAAAAGCCGAGATTTCGCCAAGAACGTCAAGCGTTTGAAGTGGAATTCGTCGAGGGTGATCCCTATTAAGGTATGTGAGATATTCTAGTGATGGGTTAGTTCACCCACACACCAACTTGTTTCAATTCAACGATTTTGGGTTGTTCACATGTTAAAAAGTGAAGTTCTTGAAGAACATTGTTGAATTCTTGTTGGTTGATTGTTGAATTCCTAGTGTTGATTTGATTCGTGTTTCCGGGTTGTTTTTCGAAGTTAAATCTATTGGGTATTGAGGGTACTAATGATCCTAATTGTTTGGGGAAAGAACCATTAGAGTTTAGAGGGTTTAGAGATGAAAAACGGAGAAGCAAAGTCGTCAAACACCTGGGTATAGGGGTGGGGCGTCGCGCCAGCCAGCGTGCCCGAAAAGGGTCTCTGAATGTTCACCCTTGGGACGCTGCGCCAGCCAGCGCTCCCTAGACTGGTCTCTGAATATTGAGGGCTGGCGCCCCATGCCTCTCAGAGAGCCAGGGACGCCAGTTCTCCCCATTCGTTCCCACTTTTTCGAACTAGTTCCTAAGTGATGTACCTATGTTTTCTAGTTGATTTTAACACTTTAAGGTACATCTAATCATCATGAAATCATCCATAAACATGAGATCATGAACCTTGAATCCATAATCCAATTCAATGAAAGTTAAGATCAAAGTCAAAGAAGTTAAGAGTCAAGTCTAGAAGTTAAGAAGCAAGTCAAAGCAAAGTTTCTTAAAGTTTTCAAAAGTCTTTATTAAACGTTTAAACTTCATTTTAAGGCTCAAGTTTCAAGTAAAGTAAAGAGTAAAGAGTTGAGTTCATTTCTCAAAAGTTATTAGGGAACTAAGTATTCCCAAAGAAGTTTATAAATGTTTTCACATTTGAGCATGAAAGGAACTATGATTTCCAAAAGAGCCTTTAGGCTAGTTTTCAGTAAAGGGAACATCGATTTCAAGAGAGCCTTTGGGCTAAACTTTGAGCAATTATATCAAACTAAAGAAAGAGGTGTTTAAAACACATATGAGCTAAAGTATATTTTGGGAGTAGTATTGAGCACCGAATTGGGGACGCGAGTTCATATTAACTCAACTCTCCATAAGAATCATGTAGCCAACATGGGATTTAACGGGTTATACTTTTTAGATGATCACGTAAGTTAAGTTAGTGGATACACTAAGTTAAGTAAGGTCCTATATCACGACGAGGTATAGGATGGTCCTTGGGCAACGTGATGTAAAACGTTGTACCATCACTAGGGCTCATAGTGATGGTTGTCGGTTGAAGAATCTCCCACAAAAGTTATATTACTTTTATATATAAGTAAAGTTGAGTTTGTTATTGCTTTATCTTTAACGAACTAAGTTGTTTACACTGTTTTACAAGCTTTATATATATATTGCATGTGTCTTATTGCTTTATATTGAGTTAAGTTATTCATGAGTTGTACAGAGCCAAGGTAAGTGTTCCTTCTTACTCCTTTCAAGCTTAAGTTGTTGTTTAGCATTCCAACTCGCATACTCGTACAGTCAATGTACTGATGCCAGTTGGCCTGCATCTTATTATGATGTAGACGCAGGTAACCATGATCAGCATCCAGCGCACCGTTGATCTAGTCAAGCACTCCAGAGTCAGTGGTGAGCCTCCTTGCATTCGGAGGACTCGTTTATTCGCTTTTCTAGTTTTTTTTCTTTATTAGGATGTTGTGGGGTCTGTCCCAACATCCATCTCAATATTATAGAGGCTTCATAGACAGTTAGACAGTAGTTGAGTCTCTCATCTATGTATTTATAGATATTCTATTTTGAGACATAAGTTGCCATTTGGCCAGATTTTATCATTTAAGCTGTTTTATGAACTTATATTGTGTTGAGTTAAGTCTTCCGCTGAGTTAAGTAGCCAGGTCAAGGGTTCGCTTGGGGCCAACAATGGTCTCTGAGTGCCGGCCACATCCAAGGTGTAGACTCGGGGCGTGACAATTATGAAGTGGATGAATTAAAAACTTAATACTTTTAAGAAGTTCTACTTTTTCCAAAGTAATTAATTGAGGGTATAATGGATAAAAAAATTTGTCCTTTCTTAATTTGTCAAAATGGACAAGTAATTAGGGACAACTATAAAAGGAAAAGTGGACAAGTAATTAGGAACATATGGAGTATTATGTTTGCAGTCAAATTAATGAAATGTTACAGAAATTCATGAGGTGAGAACTGAGGTGAATGCATCCATAATAAAAAAAATAATAACATTTATTATGGCTTGGAATATGTATTTTTGTATATATTATTTTGTGTTGTTTCTGTTCAAAGTAGAATATTAGTCTGAGGTGAATTTATCGACATGAATAAAAATGGAGAGAAATAAAACGAGCGTTTAAAGTTAAATTGCAATTTTTCTCTTATATTTAATTAAAATAAAATACCTAATCTATTTGAAATAGTAGTAATT